ATACACATTATTTTTTTGGTGTATGTAATTTATTTGTTTGTTTACATATCTATATATGTGTTCATGTATGTATTTGTGTTAATCAGCTGTAATCCAACCAATCTGCTACAATAAGAAACAGATATAAAAACAAAAAAGAAAAAAACGACTTCAAAACTATCTTTTTAGATATAGATCACAATGAAGAAAAAGTGAATTTTAAAAAATACACAGGGAGGTATGTTGTTTGTTGTTGTTGTTGTTGAGAGAAACAAGTACAAACCATGGAGACTGTTTTAATATTACGTATGGATATATTTTATCATGATCGAAACCAACAAAAAACCCGTATAAATGAAATTTATGAAAAAAATAACTGATAATTATAGAGTAAAAAATTGGGTGTAGATTAATAAAAGAAAAAAAATAACCACTCATTACATAGAAACAGAATATACTTCATTATATTTTTATATTAAGTAGAGCAAATGGAGCAAATTATATTGGCAGATGTTCTAGGAATTTGTACATTCGGGCTCGTGAGCACCTACCCGTGTGGTTAAGCAAAGGTGTTGTCAAAACTGTTAACAGCTCCATCTTAGACCATTTAGTCCAAACAGGACATACAGCCAACATGGAGCAATCTTTTGCAATAGTTTATCGTGTCAACAGCAGTCTACCTAATTCCGTCAGACTGCGAATCCTACAGACGGCTGAAGCAATTGCTATTCGGATCAAAAAGCCAGAGCTTTGTATCCAAAAGAAGTACGTTCAACCACTCCTTTTACCCTGGCCAACTAGCTAATAATCAATCTTATAATGTGGTGACATAATCTGATTAATGTTCATTTTATGTCCCAAACTTATTATTATTATTACTGTTATTATTATTATTATTACTATTATTGTCTTTACACTTGATAACCCCTTTTTGAGGAATTTATTCAATATCCACCCTGAATCTACTATATTTGACCTAATTATTTTACATATTACGCAACTTCCGATTTGTAATCACAATATTCTCTCTCTCTCTCTTACCCCATGTTGACCATATTTATTCTGATAATTTATCTCACAATTTCACTTCGCTTATAAACTGATTCAAGTTAACACTTCATATTAGTCAGCCCCAACATTAACAATTTTGTTTATATAACAAACAGTTCCTGATTCACATATTACAATTTCCAAATGATGATGTATTTTGCCTTAAATCTGGCCAATTTTATGGATTATTAATCTGGATTTATAATTGTAGAACCTGATGAGAAATTACTGAAAAGAATACTCTTTGTTTATATAATTGTTTTTTTATATTAAGTAATAAATTTTCATCTTGATACGTTATAATAAGTATCCGCCTCTCTTCTACTCACAAATGAAACCAGTTTCACCTTCAAAGGTTCTGTAGCAGTACATAGCAATTTATATATATATATATATATATATATATATATATATATATATATATATATATAGGTTTAAAGCATTTTTCTAATCACTTATGTACCAAACTATTTCATTCAAAACAGTCCAAGTTTATGGAAACTGGTATTGTATTTTATGAACCTCAGCACACTAGCTTCATAATTCCTTGTGACTTACAAAATATATAACTGTTTACATTAGAATAATCTTCCAAGTTAAGAATTAACCATTAAATATTAAATTTACAGTTTCTAAATAACTGCTCTTAAGAATCATGCAAAAACCTGTCTCAGTTTGTTAACAAATAAAAACACATATTACTGTGATTCAGTAAACTATTAATACCCGCAAATGCTCTGGTACGGCTGAGAGCTCTCCCTTTCAAAATGCTCTCACATGACCACACGCATACAACCACTGCCAGTGAAGTCCTACTCACTGCCTTCTCGCGGCGAGGGTGCTGCTTACAAAAGTGAAAAAAGGAAAAGCGAATGTTCGGTGCTTTAATCGGGTTGGTGGACCCGACAAGTCCACCTATGGTAGTTGGAAAACCCTCATTCCAAACCAATTGCTCACATGGGTTCCAGTGTCCTGAAGGAACAAATGGCGTATGAACTAATCGTTGGTCAACGGTTACCATAGAACTGCATATCCTGACGTTGCTCCACTGCCTTGTGGATCAGACCTTTGTGTCAAAGACTTTGGGTGTGGCCCCCTAAGAAAACCACTTGCTTCGGCTTAGGCATCCGGAATGTATCACAGCGTGCATACAAATCAAGTGACTTGTGTGACGCATATGTATTCGGTGCCCCCTTGTACCAATATTTATATGTTCAACCCATACTGCAGTCGAATAATTTACATGTCAGTTGAAATAATTTTAAAATGCATGAAGAAGATTCCGTTTATTAACATTATGACTATTAAATTTCGATTCCAACTTTCATATAACTGCATATATATATACTGAGATTATTTATAAATAGAAATTATGTAAATATTTGTGAAATGAGAAATATGCAAAATGAATATCATATTAATCATTTTAATTAAACTGTAATTAGTTAGTGAAATATTACGATATGTCCCAGAGGTAAAATAAATCACAAATAAGACACTATTCATTTTAAAAAACTGTAGCGTTAATAGGTATTCTATTTTTTTAAAAATTAAAAAAAAACAATCGTATCATATATATCAACGAATATACAACAGAAGTTTAATGGATCATATAATCCAACCATCATACTTTTTCACTGGTTGAAATCGAGTCAGTTGAAGCTAGACCACCATGGAAAACCTGGAAGCACTGGACGGCCGTTTCGTCCTATTGTGGTACTCCTCAGCAGTGCGCATCCACGATCCCGCCCGCCGCGAGATTCGAACCCAGGACCTATCAGTCTTGCACCAGGTGCTTCAAGTGCCACAACACAGTTCATCTATATATTTATGATTTACGAATGATCAATAAACTGTAACATCTCTAACGAAATAAACTGAAAATTATAAAGATTTTGTTCTTATTTCTATGGGTTATAATATAACTTATGCTTTAAAATTGGTAGTTAGCTTAATCATTAATAAAATCATTATAGTTCTTCTCTATACAACATACAACTACTTGCTAAACATGTTCATATCATTGTCTTTCACATTTGATAATATTGATCCTGATCTTAATCAACGAAACAAACTTCTTGTTTATGAGCATAAAGGTGGTCTGTATTTCATGATGACAGATAACTAATTTTCGTTATTTGTTAGCACTAATTGAAAAAACTATCAATTGAATACAACTAAGTCTAAAAGCTCCATTTATAAGGTTAAAATAAATAGTATTGACCTCGAAGATTTTTGTAAAAATAACTTGAAAACATAAATGAACAAACATTATGATAGTATGGAATTGATATATATATATATATATATATATATATATATATATATAAGTTGAATTCATCAATCACTTGAAGCTAGACCACCATGCAAAACCTGAAGGCATTGGACGGCCGTTTCATCCTAGTATGGGACTCCTCAGCAGTGCGTATCCACGATCCCGCTTCGCTAGATTTGAATCCTGTGTTTATTAATTCAACTATTAGAATTACTATGATATCTACAAAACCCCTCTCTGATTATATCTTTACGTGTTAAATTACTATAACTTATTGTTTTGGTTTTGTAGTCAACCAGAAAGTGTTTTTGGTAGTTACATTGACTACTGAAAATTGATGTGTATTTCTTTGAGTTTTCGCATGAATAAATTTAGGTTTTCACTTGTTTATAAGACGTGTTTATAAGGTTCTCAAAGTCCAATTAGCTGTTTATGATTTAATTACTTCTATTACGAAAGCAATGACTTAAATGTAACCTAAAATTCCTCATCCAGACTTATATAGAAGGAAAAGTTGAAATAGAAATTGTTATGCTTTAACTGATTCCTTATTACGGTTTTGCACTTTAATAACTGTGGTCTTATCCACAATATTTCTATACTTAGAATTATTTACAATTACTAGTCAAAATTGTATTCTAAGATTAGAGAGGACTGATTTATTGTTACGTTTATTCATTGAAACAAACAGATTATATAGTAATAATTTGTTGAAAACTTTCACTGAAAGGTATAATATTGAAAGAGATTACCTAGGCACATTAATTATAATTAAAAGAGAATAACGAGAAAAGATATTCAATTCTAAACAATATTCATCCTCAAAATACTATTGTCTACCAAATAAATAATAAAACTGCATATTAACAGTCTAGTTATTGGATGTTTTTCTGAACGAAATGAGGCAACTTAAAAAGATGGAACCCAGTGGAATAAGCCATATTTAGTACACTTATTTGCACACTATGCAGCAAATCATCAAACAGTTCAAAAGCTCTTGATTACTCTTATTTGTCTGTTGCTTAGCGATGAAGTAAACCGTTTAGAAACTTGACAACCAAATTTGCAAAGTGTGAGCACTAAGTGAGTCCTTTTAAATGAAGAGTTGAAATGGTAGACACACAACCGAATGAAAATAGATCCAAGTAATTTGTAACATACTGAGTCTTTGTTTAATAATTTAACATTATAGCTAACGTTCAGTACACATACTCGTGACCGGTCTATTTAAAAACTAGTCTAAAATGAATTAGAAATAATTATTATTAGATGCCACTTACAATTTATGACAAATATTTTATGTGCAATATATGAATGTTCAAGATGACGATTTCATTATATCACCTTGAATAAAAAGCACTCATTATTGGTGCATAGTTACATCCATGTAGACTTAGCTCAGCCAATCACTATTTACTCAACGGAACTTGGCATTTTGAAGCAGGTTTCGAAGAATTAGTCGCTTATCCGTTGATGATAACTTACTCAACCACTGAATGCATACCAAATATAAGTTAGAAAACAATATAATAGTTAAAGCATAGTATGCTTTTAAAAAATAGATCCGGTTTATAATATTTAACTGTATGCTTTAAATGTAAAGAATATTGTGATTTTTCAGAATAACTAAATTAATGTAACCATATTTAACTAAAAGATAAAACATATTTTTTGAATATGTGAATTCTAATTAAAGGTACTGAAATATGGAACGAGGAGCTACTTTTAAAAGAAAACTTCATAAATGGACCACCTAACCTATGTCAAAATGGTAGACATCAATCACCGATTAATATTATGACCAAAAATCTTGTTTATGATCATTCACTATCCGCAATGGAGATAGAAGGATTAGAAAAGCAAGTAAATTAGTTATAATAAAAACTTTTTGATAATTCAGTAACCTTGCTTTATCAATATTTCTAATAAACTGTTTAGTCAGATTAACACTTAAGCTTCACTCTCTCTCTCTCTCTACGTCATCAATAATTTAATGAATGGACCCAGTTTTCCAACATATCACAAGCCAACTTAAAGTTGGCGAAGGAAGATAATGAACTGACAAAGATTGACTTTCACTGGATATTATTAAACATGATTTATTTTATCTACTATTTGTTATCATACTAAGAAGTGATTTCACATGAAAATTTCCTGAACATGAGTATACCATTGGTTTTTAATATGCAGTTCAATTTCACTCTAGAAATGAGCTGAAAACTAAACTTCTAAAGAACTAACTATCAATGGATAAAACGATTATCTCCACAATTAACGAGTAAATTCTTGTCATTCATTAAAATGTGAACGAAGTTTAGTGACTAGTTTCATCATCACATAGCAGTTGGACAAATAATTTAAACTAAGACATAAACGAGGATATTTTACTACTAGAATGTTGGGAAAAAAATGATCAAAATAATTAAAATAAGAATAAAACAAACATTAAAGCCTCTTTGTTTCTTCTGGCTAATAAGTTTTACTACATTTATAACTTCTATATATTCGGCAAATTTTGTCAAATAGATTATCTACTAAATATAAATTCACTGAACGTTTTTTAATATCCACATTTCAAATTGTAATCAAAGAGGGGGTTTGTCGATATCATAGTAATTTAATAGTTAAATTCATGAGTCAATTGAAACTAGATCACAATGGAAAACCTGGAAGAAATGGACGGACGCCTAACCACTAGACCACTGAGCAGGCCGGCATACAACGAAACTGCGCTACCGTCCACTATTTTCTTCAGTGAGTTACTATCTCACAACAGACCTGGTTGAACTCCACTAGTCACTGCTTCTCACTAGAACTCCAGAAACCACCTCTTGAAGCCAGTCACTGGTGAGCATTAGTTGATGTTAGTTGAGGTTGGACATTAACACCGTTGGATGCCGGTTCAGTGGTCTAGAGGTCAAGCATTTGTGCGCGAGACTGATAGGTTCTTGGTTCGAATCTTACGAAGCGGAGTCTTGGATGCGCACTGCTGTGGTTTCCCATATTAGGACGAAACAACCGTCCAGTGCTTCCATGTTTTCCATAGTGGTCTAGCTTCAATTGACTCATGAATTCAACTATTACATTTAACATTATTTAAAGTATTACGGTGTAACCCAAGTTCCCATAAACTTTTAGTTATTCTATATTCATACGAATATAATTCATTAATCTAACCAATAGTCATACAAATCGAATCGATCACAAAGATAAAAAAACTAATAGTTTATAATTTTATACTACTAACTAATATGAATAAAATAAAACCGACTCACTGATTCAAACACATATCTACTAAATATTCAATTGTCAAATACAATTTTTTTTACATTATTCTCACAGTTCTTATTTATTCTATTCGTTGTTTTCATTTATGACAAGTGTCCACTTACAAAAATTTGTATTCAATGTTACAAATGACAGAATACTCTATTTTTTGTTGTTGTTTTTCTTGAATAAATTCAACATACATAACTCTCTATTCAATAATCCTAATTCAATAAGTGTAATTAGTTATTCTATATCTTTATTCATATCGTATAAATCTACATTTTATTTAGTTATAATGAACTTTTGTTTAAATGACAAATTACATTATTTATCATTCATAAAATAGATAGATGTATGTACTTGTCTAATTTAATTAACCTAAATTATGGGGATAATAAATATATTTACTGATTAGATAGTATGTTCATTTCATGGAAAGATAATAGTTGAATACATTTTTTTCTATTATAGAATAAATAAAATGAATGAAAACTGTTTAATTATGATTAGTTTTTTATCAAATTTTCTTTATATAGTTCAATCATTTATGATGTAATGATATATATATTATGATAAGGCGTTCTGAATCTTATTTGTTGGAGGATGAATGACCTACAAATCAATTTTGTCCAATGGTTTATGAAACCGGTCATATAAGTCTTTTTTTATGGTTTATGTACTAACATATTATTTTATTAAATAAGAAAACTTATCCTCTGATATCAGTTGTGTTAAGGTGTTACATTAACGACTCAGTTTTGTGTGAAGGCGTGACTATAATTTATGAAGTACCTTTGGACGAATCTAATGTGACCTTAAGAGATATTAGCCAGTCGGAAAACAGTTCGTATAGAGTAAAAATATACAGTTGCTTTACATGGTTCAAAAACTTGTCAGGGTTAGAAAGAGGTTCAAAGGTTCTAAAATCGTAACAAATGCAGTAGAGAGAATCATCCACATGGTTCCATAATAGTCGGCCTCCGGAGCCATGATAAGATCGCGGCAAACTGTTTCAGCTTTGACCACATAGCTTCAGTATTGTTTGTGCGCCCTGCGGTTGTTGGGTTCACAAAACGCCACGTGTGGATAACGATACGATACACATGAACAAGTCGATGTAGCGATCTGTACGCTCTTTAATCATCCGTATACATTGTAGTACACGGTAGCAGCCAGTGTTATTGGTGTTTTTATTATCCGGTTCGCAACAACCTTTATAACTTGCCCTAGTCTCAATCTGGATTTGGCAAAAAAAGTCCTATTCTAGCAGACTTCTTCCAACACATATTACATAAAAAGACAATAACATCACGATAGTCTGCGCAAGGTCCACAAGTAATTTGATTACCACAATCACAAATAAAGGAACTTCTTAGTAGTCCCATTTATTATAGTCGCCCAGTTGTCACATTTTCTCCAAAATCCTCTGTGAACCGATCGTACGTGAGTATCAGGTTCTGAAATTGGTGCCGTGATCTTGAAATACCTGAAACGCTTCTGATTGACTCGTCCATAAATTATAGTCTCACTGGAAATCCTCAAATATCTTTCCTTTAAAAATCATGAAAGTTAGTCTATAACGAAATTTAACTAGACAACCATTAAAAATAAGTCAGCACTAGACAACTGTTTTTTTAAGTGGATGTCGAGTCAAAAGGTCATAAATTTAAAGTTAGTTTCCTGTGTAAACTATCTTCAAATTGAACAAACTTTACAATTCATCTACCTCATACTCTAAAATGTGTTCTTTCTCTATACTTGTACATTAAGTTACAAATCAAGTGTGATTTTTTAATGTCGTTGGAATACCCCACCCATTTTAGTCTTCAAATTTATACATCATTTCAAATCATATTAGATAAATGGCTTGATATAATAAGATTTTCTGGTAACGAAAACATTCAAATCATTTTATAAATCTATGGACTAAAAAATATATGAGCTTAATATTTGATGGTCAAAGATAAAGTCTCTACACAACTTTCTTTTCAACACAACCGATACTACAAATCACGACTACCTTCAAGTAATTTGTTGTGAATGTGTTTATGAAATTAGTTATCATTAAGAAAAACTGTGATATGACTTTGATAGATAACAGATAACTAAATCTATGTTTCTATAAGAAGATACTAATTAAATTTCAAAGAACTACTCTGGATACTCTTGTTGATAAGTGTTATCTTTTAATTAGTACATTGTTTTTAATATATTTATTTTGTTTATAAGCTTGAACTAATCGTTGAAAATTGTGGATACGATATACGTATAAGTTTAACTAATGAATTTGTACAATTAAATGGTGGTCCATCCTCATATGCTTATCGAATTTCTTTTATGCAAATTAAATTTGGATCAGCATCAACTCAAGGATCAGAGCATACAATCGATGGTAAAGCATTTCCAGGTGAAGTAAGTAAGACTATTTTCTATTTATAAATAATAAATTATTCTAGTTATAAAGTTATTTTCCTGAATAAAATATTTATTCAATCTGTTTAATTAGTTTACTTTAAGGATCTATTACAATTATACATCTATGTGGGTTTTTTTTTCATTTTATACCCTGTTTTGCATTTAAAGACTCATGTTTTGTACCACAATATTTTAGTTATTTTATTTAATTGTAAATGCTTCCTTTCCATTATGTTTAAGTCAAGTATAGTTTATTTATAAATGATTGGCATTAACGCCAAACTTAATTAGATCTAAAGTAATCAATACTCACTGTTACTTATTTCCATAGAAAAAGCCTCTCACTGTATATGTTAAGTTTGACTATGAAACTAACTATGAAACATAATCATATAAACATTTATATGGAAACTATAATACACTGAGAACCTGCGGATAATGTAAGCAATTGTTTACAAACTGTAAAACTTACATTTTAATGCATCATATGCTTCACAAACATGAGGATTTATATTGTTCAATCACAAATTTGATTTTAAAAAAATTGTTGTTTGTATATTTAAACATCAATGTATTTTCTAGCAAAGTATAATTCAATACACACCACACAATATCGTGGTTATCTTTTTGTATTGAAAACGATTTTCATCTCACACAATCATACTTATATAGATGCTTAGACTATTATAACATTACTATTAGTAATTGTTTGTAATAACGAAACAATTTGTAACATCTCAATAAGTAGAAAATTGGATTACTGATATCAGTTTTCTTATTAATAGGCTCATCCATAAAACGTAGAAGTACATTCTACAGAGCGTTTTGAACCTGAGTATTTATTTGTCAGTACTCATTGTTAAGATCTGAATGTAAGTCCTATAGGGTTTTTTTGGTATGACAACTTGTATCATCCAGTCCCTAAACTACTGGCATTGATAACTGATGTCTAAAATACCTGTCATAAACATTTATCATTATATCTGATCATACTAATTTTCAATTCACAATGAATATTCGAATTGTTTGCTTTCATCTACTCCGTATACATAAAATAAAAATAAATTTTATAAACAAAAGTTCCTTTTCAAAATACTTTCAGACAAGTTTAATTGACAATCATTAAAGTGGCGTTTTTTAGGGAGTTAGTTTTCTACTGGATGGGACTGTTAACTCCATGCCCAACCCTCTTCTTTTATCAGAGTTTAAGACCGGAAGTAGCCCCAGAGGGGCTCCAGGAGGAATAAACTAAGCTCATAGATACCTGAATCATTCACTTTAAGAAAGAGTTTCTTGCAAATATCACTATTACTGTAATTATAATTTGAGTCGAATGAATCAAAAAAATATACAATAAAACTTTCAGACAAATCATTCATACATTTAAATTAACTTCACAAAAAAAGTAATGACTTGTTTCTTAAAACAAACTTTAATTTGAGCGTTTAACAATTAAATATTGTCGAAATTCTTTTTCCTTTCTTAGCTTTCAAAAATACGATAAATGTTTACTTCGGATTGTATGTTGACTAAAATTAAATAAGTGACTTAGAAATAAAACTAATTAAATATCAACTATTGAATTACTAGTTTGAATTCCATTTTAACTTAATTCGATTTGCATAAATATCCTTCATTCATAAAGTATTACTTAAAGCTTGATTTTTAAACCTGTGGTTAGTTACTGAATTTACTAATATTTGCACCAGCTGATCACTGATTAATAACCATGGTATTGATTAAATTGTATTGATTAGTTTGCTATATGGTCACTAGTCTAAGCACTGCTGAGGAGTCTGACAACGGGACGAAACGGCCGTCCAGTGCTTCTAGGTTTCCAATAGTGGTTTAATATCAATCGGTTCATGATCTCAATCAAAAACTTAGTAATCTCCACATCCCCTATGTTACAAATATAAATGTTTTATTAAGAGTTTAAATTAAGTTAAACTATATCGAAAGTTATCGATGAGTTGAACTGTTATGTCTAGAGGTTAGATCATTGATGTACCGTGTACAACTTGAGCACTCAAACACTAGAATCCTCTTATTCGCAAATGAAAAGACAGAAGAAGAATGAGAAGGAATGCTGTTCTGAACCGTATCAAATATGTTACAAAACTCTCAAGTATTTACATATTTTAGTAAAAGTGAAGGGAATTTATCGGAAAGAATATTTTCCGTTCAAATATTGGTCTTTTAATATGATGGGGATCTTTAAACCATTAAAAGTGAAATCATCATTATAGTCCTCCAATCCTCATCCAGTGGTCTTTGGCATTTGTCCAATGGGAAAGCTACACGTTGAGATCCTGGATAGTTCTTCCAAACGATGATTAGATGAAATGTACTTGTTCCTTCTTCTTAGAGTTTCCTCAAATTCACACTTGGGCCGTCCTCATATAAAATTTATTCTTGAAAAAAAACTTATTAAATAATTTCCAATAAAACTATTATTCTTTTGTGAGGTAGTAACTAACTGATCACAATGGTGGATGTGTTACTTAGTTTCGTGGATTAGTTGAAGTTAGACACTCACACCGTTGGATGCCGGCTCAGTGGTCTAGTTTCTTAAACGCCTTGCGTGAGACTAATAGGTCCTGTGTTCGAATCCCGCGAGGCGGAGTCGTGGATGCGCACTGCTGAGGAGTCCCAAAATAGGACGAAACGGCCATTCAATGCTTCTAGGTTTTCCATGGTGGTCTAGCTTCAATTGACTCATGATCTCAACCATTGAAATTACTACAATCTCCACAAAACCCCCTTCTGATAATAATTCATCTACTCTTTATTTTGATAACGGAAATGAATAATAAATATTTTGTAATTATATGACATAATAATTATTCAACTTATTACTATTATTATTAAAATAAACCCTTGTCCTCTTCTTCTCTCTACTTAACCAATATGATTATTGCCAATACTACTATTATATAACTATTGTTATTTCAAATAAATTATACTTTATCAGTTTTTACTTGTCTATGACAACAACAGCACCATCACCACCGCCGAAAAAGACAAACATTTCACTTTATTTTATCCTCAAATAAAATTAAATTAAAATTTTGATTTGTTTTGTTTATTTTTTTTAAAAAAATACAAAAAAACAAACAAAGATGTACTTCTATGTGAAATGAAAATTGAAAAATATTTAATGAATAATTTTCTGTGAATTTTTCACTTGATATCCAGAAATAAATAAAAAAAGAAGTAAAACAACCGATAGACCAGAAAATACTGAATTTATTCTTAGTATTGAAGCATTGAATGATATAAAATAGGTGTATTAATTATGTGTCTATATGTAGATATGTAAATGGATAAATGAACAAGAAAAGAAAATTAAAATAAAATTCAATTTAATTAATCGTTATGTAAAAAAATTATTTAGTGAATACACGAAATTGTATGATCATCTTGTATTGTCTTTGATGGATAACTGTTTCACATCGGACACAGATTAGCTCCATTCATCATGGCTTCTTACTTGAACTGCGAGAATTACCTCTTGAAAAGAGTCTATAGTGAGCATATGATAATTTTCAGTATAGGGTTGTGAAGATTGTTGAGGTTTTGATTGAGATCATACAACGATCAGTGGTAAACCACCTTTGAAAACCTGAAGGAATGAACAGTCGTTTCGTCCTAGAGTGGAACTCATCAGCAGTAGTCTGACATTGATATATCTCAATCAAAAACTCAATGTTTTCTACAACCCAACACTGATATTTAGTGATTAATTTGCAGTGTTCTTATTTGAAGAAAAATTAAATGATATATGAAACAGTGACTCAGTGGTTAAACATCTAACACTAATCTACTGCACTGTAATCTTGAATCCTACCTCAACTGTTTTCATTTCGACCTATCATATTGCTACAATAGTCTCCACAAATAATAACCCAAACATGCTAACTTTTAGATAATGTCTATTACATTAAATTAACATAGTGTATGTTAATAATTATGTATGCATAATAAAAATGAGAAATTTCAATCTATTTGGGATGCACCATCAATCTATCTTGTAAATAATATGTACCCAGTTATATATATATATATATAAATCTAATCACTTCAAATGATGTGCAATAATAACAGATAACAATCTGAAGATATCAAATTTGATAAAAATAACAAAAAATTTAAATTCACTTGGTGTTGTTTGCTTGTATCTTCCCATGAGGACTCAGTAGCTAAATGAATAACGCGATGACGTTTGAAGCGAATGATACTGGGTTCGAGTCCCAGAGTGAACATCAAATCTGAGATGTAGGTACATCCAGCTGACGAGTCCCAAATAAGACAAAATATGTGTCGTGGATTCCACTGCTAGCCAATATCCATTCTTTCTAACAAAATGTTTATTTTAGTTTATTTCTGTTGATAATTTAATCTTTTATTATTTTTATTGTCAATTGTTTCACAGTTGCAGATTTATTCATTCAACAATGAATTATACAATAATTTATCTGAGGCATTTTATCGTCCGAATGGTATACTTGCTATCAGTGTTTTCTTTAAAGTAAGTTTTGTAAATGAATACAATGGTTATAGTTTAAAACTATATAATAGATAAACATATATATTTCAAACGTCAATCTAATGTCATTCTATCACCAGATATACATTTGTATGAATAATAGATAATGTGAATAAGAGGTAACTGGGTCAGTAAAGCATTTAATAAGAAATTTTACTTATAAATTCTGTTTACTCAATTAGATTGACAAAGGAAATTTATCAAGAAAAATTGTCAAAAATGAGGGTGTAGTGGTCTCTTGGTTGTCCTGAATTTAATTCATTTTAGTAGCTGGTTCACTTGGAAGAAAAAGACTTTTAACATTTTTTCTGTTGACAATATTCATTTTGTACACCCACTAGTTCCCATCTAACGTAACTTTAATTCCTAGGCACTTGTAATAGAATTTATTTATTTTGACTACAGAAAGCAATCTTAAACAATAAATAACTTATTTCTAATTATCCTCTAACAGTAATAATGCATGATCTTGAACTATAACGTCCAGTTTGATATACTGAATTACCATTCCGTAATTTTAAACGAGATGAAGCTCAGTAAAATTTCAGAGTTGAAGTATTCTCAGTGTGCTACTGTCTCTAATCCATCCTCAACGATTATAACTTTGTGATCCAAACTAGTCAACTTCAGGAGGTTTTAATGATAATATTTTTATCTGAGTATATTAACTTGGGAAAATTACCCAGCTCATCACTCTTGATAACTTTAGAAACTATTTTCCAAATCAATTTTACTGAAGGCCTAAACATTAGTAGGCTTTAATAAACAATATCTTTTCTACTTTACAGATTGGAAATGCAACGAATAAGGACCTTTTAGGAGTTGTAGCTGCAGCCGAACAAACAATATTTAAAGGTAAATATTTATCTCCATTAAATTATGGTCATTATATATTATTCATCAATGGAATAATTTTTATTTGAATAACCATTTCTGAGATAGTAAAATTTCATCAGTTTAGATCTTGTAAACTATTTGATATATTTTGATAAACTCATTACTGATATTTAAATATATCATAGGAAGTTTGACAATATATGTGAGGGAAAATTTCCAAACAGTAGCTTTATTATTATATCGGTACCTTTTACATCAATGTATTGAGCACTTTTATCAATCAAGCAACTAGTCATTATAAAAAGAATGGATTACTTCAAAACAAGGTGCTTTCTGCTTTCGCCCAGTTCAATCACTTCACCAGTGCAATACAAGCACAGAGGTGTAAACACTCTACATCTATTTATTTGGTAACGGTAATGGTTTGTAACTTTCTGTTGTTAACATTCAGGATTTCAAAAGATCAGTCTCTATTGCCATATATGCGTCCTTGATTGATTCTCTCGATATTATCTTACGCTCTAGTAAAGGGGAATTGTGAGTAGTAGTGAATTCCAAAAAACACACTTTATCCGATTTGGGACTCATAATTTTAACATTCCTGTGTCATTGTCTTAATGTTATCAATTAGTTTGGAGTTTTAGTTTGATACACAAGTTTTTATAAGTTGCAAAACATATCCTTTATTTAAACACTTGGACGTTTCCAATCTGATGAATTCAATAATGAGTTCAAAGTATTTCGGTAAAGTTAGATATATGTCTTGAATAATGTGACTAAAGATAAACATCAAAAGACATGTTTTTCATTTAGAATATAAATTCTCATGAGTTGTAAATTGAATTTTATTTAAAATTTAATTAGAAGTCTCGATGTTGAATCTCAAACCTGCTTGGTTCATTTGTACTTTTTGTTATCGAGGGACATTTAGCGCAGATTTTAAAAATCGAAATATTAGATTAATTAATTGTTGACTAACTTTGGTATCCATTTCTTTTTCTACTATGTAAACCTAACAACCATTATATCCATATTGGTAATAAAATTATCCACTTTGACAAATGAACTAAGTAATGTCTTAACTTACTTAAACAGGAATTCTTTATACACCTTTTGAGGATTCCATAGATTTTTGAAAAAAAAAATGTTCATACTGAGACATAAACTACTCATAAATCAGGATTTCTGTTGGAGATGCCGAATCCCTATAAATCTCTTGATAAACGTCTTAATTTTTTAGTTTTATTTTGAAAATCTAAATTTCTCGTTTCCGCACTGAAAGCGCCAATTTTTATTTTCAGATTATATTTCCCACTTAGAAAGATCTTAAATATCATTGGTTCATTACCTCTTTCAATGAGCCAGTTTGTAAAGTTTCCCAGGAACCTTTTTATACCATATATATGCTTGAGTTGCGTGCTTGGTTCGTTCGTGCTCCTGGCTGCTTGTAGAATATACTTTTACCTAAGTTACGAATCTGATCTTCTTCTAGTTAACAGGGCTAGGGAGAATGGAACTAGTTTAGCTTATCCTGTTATTGTGTTATAGACCTTCGTTCCATTTGCCGTTTTTAAGTAATATCATGATCTCTTCAAACATTACCATTTCACCAAAGATCCTACAGATAAAATTTTTGATAGTAACAGTTCAATTATTTCTTTTCTAATGAAATTTAGCCTTTTATTTCTTTATTGTAAACTTTTTCACAGGAAACAACAACCAATAATTTTTATCAGTTACTATTCATTTATGAAATTTAATAAATCAGGTCAAAAATGTAAATAAAATTATCACAAATATTCTGAACTATAATTACCTTATATTTAATGATCATAAATTGTATACAACTAAATAGTTTACCTACAGAAAACAAGTAATTCAGTTCAGTAAACTAATAAATAAATGTAAAGTATCTTTCTTGATTAAAATATGCTTTTGAAGTCTCCTTTTGAATGGTGGCATTCACTTTGCTTGTTTTATTTTTTAAAATGATGTTAATAGCTTTTATAATGCATGAGTAGACACGGTTAACCTTCTTTCATTTATTACACAGGTGATTGATTTAATAAGAGAAGTTCATTATGACGATAAACTGATAAAGTTTAATTCAAAAAAATATCTTGAAGATAATTTTCATGTGTAGTAACAGGCTAACTATGTAGTTCTTTGATGATCCTAATTTAATAAACATTCATTTATTGTGTTGACAAGAAACTAACTATAATTATTCACTGAAAACTCATTAGGATTTTATGTACACTGTACACTTTAGCCATCACTTCTTTTTAGAAAAAAACAGTCGTTTGATTCCGAGAAACTTATATTATGATTAGACAGGTTGTTTGTAGAGTTTTGAATAACTGGATCATGGTATTCACTGTAAAACTGATAATATTTGAAGAACAATTCAAAACTGAAATGTAATTTGCTCAGTGATCTCTTTGTTGGTCAGAAACACCAAGTAAAACTTTTACTAGACCTTTCAATATTAATACTAAAGTTTAATAAATATTAAATAAATGTTGCATATCTGATTTAGCAAAATGAAAGATTACAAATTGAATGCTTAAAGACCGAATTCGTACCTTAATTTCAAACCCGTTTTCAATTTACTTCGTAAGTTCATAGAGTGATTGGAATTCAGCAGAATTGCATATCACTATACGGCTAAATTCTAAACAGTAAATTCTAAATGAAGATAAGTGGGTATTTTTAGCAATAACTAGTGGATTCATTTACATAAAAATCTATTATAGGGAACTAGCTTATGTTGTAGCTGGAAATTCAATCAATGTATGAAATAAGCGATATCGTGATTAAATGTGTAGTCTACAATGTAGAAAATTAGTGTGAGTTAAAGACTAATAAGATCGTCCAAGATCACTAACATTTAAACTTTAGAATAGTACTTGATGTAATGAGTAAGTTCAATACTGATTAATATTATTTTAGTTCTCATTATGGCGTTTCCATTAACCAATCAAAACATATGATTATTTCTTAATGTAAATAATTATTATAAATACTATTATTCTGACTGTTTAGTACTACTTTCAAACTTCGTTTGCAGGTGAAACATTCCAGCTAAAAGGTCTTGAACTGCGCTCATTACTAACATCAACACATGAGTTTATGACATATGAAGGATCATTGCCATTTCCTCCATGCCATGAAACAGTTACCTGGATCATATTGAATCATCCTATAATGATTACTGAAACTGAAGTGAGTTTACGAAAAAAATCCTAATTGTTAAATGAAATTCATATATTTTCTCTAGTGATTCCTATGAGTGTTTTAAGTCAGTAAAAACACGAGTCTTAGACTGAAATGAAATCATTTTATGGGAGGATTTCTCTTCAGCTATAAACAATCCGAATTACACAATCTCTCTCCATTATTTCCTAATTTACGACAAATTAAATATTTTGGCGGGTTGCAATAGAACAAAATACTTATTATCCGGTAATTATGGACAAATTTCCATAATAAAGATGAAAGACTTTTTGATCGATACATGAAAATCTAGAATTTCTTAAAAGAAATATATTTTTTAACCTCATTTAAAGGGTTTTATAGTCATTCAAATGATAGTTATTAGTAATATGTAATATAGTCTCTATGGCTAACTGAATTTTATCAGACGATCATGCAATAAACATACTAGTCAAGAATAATTGACATGACGATACATTTACTTAATCCAGGAGTTCATGCATATCGTCACTAGGATGATTAGTGTATTTAACCCGGTTTTATATAAAGAAATTTACTATTTGGTCGACGTACTGTAAATGTTTCTACGCCACTGAAAAGTGCTAGCATATATTTCCAATAACTTATTAACTTTTATTAATATCTTATGTTCTCTTTCCTTTTAAATACCAGAAAATAATCAAACCTAGAACTTGAACTCACTTGGTATTGTTTGGCTTGTATCTTCCCATTGAGGTTTAAGACTGCAATTGATCAGTCCGTTATTGGCATATGTAATAATCCTGAATTCCACTGCTAGCCACTGTCCATCATTGCTTACAAAAAGCTTGTGAATTAAGGCAACGTCGAGGCATACGCACAGTATGCACATATGCCAATAACAGACTGATCAATTGCAGTCTTAAACCTCAATGGAAGATACAAGCCAAACAATACCAAGTGAATTTAAATTCACCCCACTGCACAAGCAAGTGGCTATCAGGGCTCAGTAGATAAGTGGATGACGCGATGGCGTTTGAAGCGAACGGTACTGAGTTCGAGTCCCAGAGCGAACATCAACTCTGAGATGCAGGTACATCCAACTGACCAGTCCCTAATAGGACGAAACGCACATCCTGGATTCCACTGCTAGCCACTACCCAACATTGCTTACTAGAACTTGAACTTTTAATCTATTCCTTTCAAATATCTACCGAAATTAAAAAGGTATATTTGTTCATTCTTTCTCAACTCAATATAGTAATCGGTAATGAGTATCACTTTTAATGTAACAGTTTAGAAAAATTCATTGCATGCATATCATTAAAAAATTATAGATTAAGTCTGATATTTAAAAGAAAAAAGTTAACATTTATTTTTCAAATGATAAAACAAAAATAATTTCCATTTAAACATTAAAAAATTGAAAATACGAAGTTCATCTAAGGGATCTCTTTTCAAGCTGTACAACCGTATATATTATCAGTAGGGGTTTGTGGAGATTTTAGAAATGTTCACAGATTGAAATGAGTCAGCTGAGAAGTCCCATACTAGGACGAAACGGCCGTCCAGTGCTTCCAGGTTTTCCATGGTGGTCTAACTTCAACTGACTCATGATTTCAATCTGTGAAAATCGTATATATATTTTAAAAAATTTTTCTGTTAAAGTACTAATTCTGTGAGGAAATATGAACACAATAAACCAAGATGACGTAATAAAAAGATTATAATACTAGATGACGTAATACGAATAATAACAACAGATTTAGTGAATATAATAAGATGATCAAAATGTTTTTGTTATAATAATTCAAGGTTATAGAGGTATAAAAATAAATAAGGTGACATGGTGAGTATTTATGAATAAATCAATGAGAATATAAGACAAAAGTAAAGGGGAAAGGAGTAATAATAATATTAATTAAGGCCAAGGTAACGATAATGATAAGACATACTTCTTTTGTACGCATAGTTCTGGTTTAAGCTCCTGGATGGTAAGAGCTTCGGCGATTTTCAAGAGTTGGATACGAAGAAATCTAGGTAGATTTGAACGAATCATATAAACAACCTTAAAATCACACTGCGGATTCGGATATTGATTACAGTCGATTAGGTGTTCAAGTATAGAACTCCTATCTACCTTCCTTTCACCCTTTTAGAACCAGACTGGGATATAATAATAATAATTTTATATTCTGAAAATAATAATTACAGAATTCACGCCAGTTTACAGGCATGATCAATTTGATATAAATAGTAACGTTAGACGTGCAGAACAAACATGTGATAAAAGAAAGTTTTAAGTATACTAGTTCAGTAGTTGTTTAAGTAGTACATATATTACAGCGATCCAATGCATCAGCCGGGAATTTTTAATATTTCTTAAATGGACAGCCTGTTGATTTATGAACGGTGTAATTAAGGTCAATTCGTGTGCCAGATCGAATTAATGATAATTATCTACAACTAGAGAAATTAAAACGAAAACAGAGAGCACGGAACAACAAAGCAGTAATTACCAAAATATGCCAATCAGGTCTACCTAAATGCGTGTGTCATGTGACACAGTGATATACTGGTTATGTTATTCAAATTAGTTAAAGTTGCTAGGGGCGGTGTTAACATATTGACAGCAAGTGGGTGGTTTTACTAAGGGAATTCACTAATAAAGATGGCTAAACATTTAAGGTTCCTAAAATATCACTTGTGGAATGAGATACACTTAAAGGCGCTAGACCATTCAATGCATTTTCAGAGGAGCAGTATGCATCGATGCAGCGAACAAATAATGGGAGTGATTTTATCGTGCGGATAGATTGTGGTAGGTTATTCCAGAGTCTAGAAAATTTACAGGTGAAGTAATTCATATAAAGAGATGATTTAGAATGAGTTTGTTTCACTAGTGCCAAGGAATTACGGATGTCATAATGAGAGGTTTCTGCATATTGAATCGCGTGATCGGATGTAAACGATAGTTTATGAAGTAGTTTGAAGAAAAAGATAAGATTTAGTTTGAGTCTCCTCCTCCATAAAGGGTCTAGCCCAAGTTTATTACATCTAGAATTATAAGTTAAGGTACAATCAGCTCCAAGAATACGAAGTGTAAATCGTCTCTGTACTGATTCCAGCCTTAATTTATCCTTTATGAGCGCACTGCTAAGAATAAACGTGCAATATTCTAGAAGAGGTCGAGCACAAACTTTGTACATTAGAATACGTGACTCAGTGTTGTAAAGATTTCGAGTTATGTAACCTATTAGACGTTGAGACTTAGAGGTCTGTTTTAATATATGTTCTGTAAACGACAAGTCTTGGGAATATCTAAGTCCTAAGTCTACTACTGTATGTAACCTAGATAACACTTCTCCATTTATGGTAATGTCTAGGTTGAGTGATGTATCGCCGAAGCATATCCATCCACATTTAGCCGTATTAAGCTCCAGTTGCCATTTTAAGCACCACTGTGCTACCTTGTTAAGCTCCATGCTGATGCAATTTTGCATATTTTTCAGGTCATGTGGAGAAAATGAATATACTACTTTAAGATCATCTGCATATAGAAGGGGCTTACCGACACAAAAACTTTCACAAATATCATTGATAAACACTAAAAAGAGCAAAGGACCTAAGACACTACCTTGTATTACACCACTTCTAACAGGGACAGCGTTAGACAATGAAGAGTTAATTTTAACTATTTGATGTCGATTGCTGAGAAAGGAATCAAGCCAAGCAAGCAAAGGATTTTGAACCCCATAAGATGCGAGCTTACCTATAAGAAGTTGGTGGCTAACCATGTCAAAGGCTTTAGAAATGTCCAGATATAGCACTAAGACTAGATATCCTTGGCTACGTAGAGAATAGACTAAATTAAAGAAGTCAAAATGACATGTCATGCAAGAACGATTTTTAAGAAATCCATGTTGAGTATCATTGATAAATTTTCCAGCAAGTAAATAGTTGGAAAGTTCATCACTTATAATTTTTTCCATAATCCTAGAAATAACTGGAGTAATATTTATTGGCCGGTAATTGTTCATGTCAGTCTTATCTCCAGATTTGTAACGTGGTATGATGTACGCGGTTTTCCAACAGTAAGGGTAAGAACCGGTTTCCATAGAGAGAGTAAACAGCTTTAGAAGAAGAAGTGGAATATCTGGACCACCATATTTGTAGAGAAATGATGAAATCCCGTCTACTCCATGACCTTTCGAAAGCTTAAGGGTATTTATAGCCTTATTAATTTTCATGCATGTGAAGGAGATAGATTTTATTGAGTTGCTAGTCACGCACATAACTCTTGAAGCATAGCCACTTATGTTTTCTACACCATTCGCAAAAATACTACTGAAAAGGTCGGCCATGGTTTTAGAGTCGTATATAAAAGTGCTATTATGCTGGATGCACGGTATATCAACATTTCGAGTTGCTTTAGTGCGTTTATTGAAAAGGAGAGTTAAGTTTTGTACTTTCGAGTTAGTATTAAGTGCTAACAGCTCCTCATTAATGGCTTTTAACCTATGTTTCTCTTTAATTTGATTAAAAATTATTGTTATTTGTGCAACTGCTGTGAAGTCGTTTGACTTAAAATAACGATTCTGTAGGCGTTTTAGTTTATTACGATATTTAGCTGGTATATATAATTCGTAAGGTTTACTAAACCTGTACGTTTTAAGAGGTACACTGGAATCTAAACAAGAGTTAATGATCAGATAGAATTCGTCGATAGCATCCATGAGACTATTACATGAAAAAAAGTTATCCCAGTCTGAAAGTTTAATCAATGAATGCAGGAGGTCCCAGTCAGCATGCTTATAGTCTCTATATTGACAGGTTTTTTGAATGGGTGGGTTATAAGAGAGATAGATAGGGAGAGCGCAAACTACTATCTTATGGTCACTGCTTTCAAATTCATCATATACTTTTACAGATAGTGGGATAACATCTCTACTAAATATTAGATCGAGTATACTATCGCCTCTAGTTGGGGCACGAACCCACTGTGACCAGCAGTGCATGTTAATGGTTGC